TTTGATGTGACATCCAGTATTTGATGCGGTTGATTAAAGAGGAATAGTATGTCACATCGACTCGGCGCCCAAATACTGTGAAACGTTTCTATCAAATTTAGACAAGAGTTCTTATATTTGATATGATTGTATCTGGTGAAGTATTTTTTGATGGAGTAGCTTACAAGGAGGTGTATGAGGATCTGGAAATGCGACTAAGCGCAAAAATGAGGCTATGACACAAAAGTCGTTTTTACTGCAGCAAAAACATGGGATCCAACTATAATTAGTTGGGAAAGTTGATACAGTAAGGTTTTGATTCCATAATATGATTAAGATTTGAAACAGGTTGTACCGCAATATTTCAAACCAGTGAGTGGTGTTAACATGACAACGCGACGTGTTTTAGAATATGAAAAGTATCTGACTTTCACAACTCTATCTTTCATTCAGAGCATTTGACATTTGTCGGACGTACTTGCAACGCTAGATACCTATTGTTGGCAGTTGAGTTGCACTGTGCTGTAGCGTTTAGACTCACATTTGATTCATGTGGACATAAGTTCCATATTACAAAACCAAATGATATGTATATATATATATATATATATATATATATATATATATATATATGTATATATATAATAAAAGTGTTTGCTTTAGGGTTTTTTGACACAATAATACACAAGTATTGAGATGAAACAAAATGTCATATAGTGTTCTACGAACAGAGGACGTTTAGGTGTTCTGGAAACATTTTCCGAAACGCGTTATTTTAGTCTGGTTGTCAGATAACACCCAAATTCATTCATGATTGTTGAGTATCGGGTGAGGTATTGCAATTTTGAGTCCTGTACCGAAGGAAAATCAACATTTTTGGGATCTCTTTCTAAATACGTTGCTTTAAGGCGATCGATTCTGATGTTATTGTTAGTTTCATTCTTATCAGTTTTATAGTACATAGGTTTACGCTGAAGAACTTTGATGGGTTCATCAAGTGCCACCAAAGTGAGTCGCAACGTTCAATGACGTGTGTATTATATTGTGGGGCAGGTTGAGTGAAACATCAGTTGATTGCGCTCGAGTGTAGAAAGGTTTAACTGAACACGTTGAGTTTGTAAGCTTGCTTGCGTAAGATTTTAGATCCATATTCAGTTTCAATTCAGAAAGGACAGGAGGCTTGATGGCCTGTGTTAATCCTGGTGGTGATGGTCTCTTAGTTTATCCAAATTTCTTTTGAAAGTGTCGACTGATGAAGCTTCAATCACGTGTTGAGGTAGTCGGTTCCACTTATTGATGGTTCAATCGGGAAGTCGATAGTCGACTGACAAGTAATTTGTTCTGGGCTTTTGAACTTTCTGTGCACTCGCAAGTAGTCTGTTTTGGAAGGCAAGAAAAATAAGAGCATATCAGATGCAAATTTATCGCTGAGTAGTTAAAAAACTGACCAAGTCACCTCCAGTTCTATATGACAAGGAAAAGATTTAGTTCAGCAAGTTGATCATCATACGGGAGCATGGGTATTCCGGGGAGCAGTTTAGTTGCGGTTCTTTAAACCTCCAATAACTTGCTGTCGCTTTCTAGGTAGGGGCTTTCTACTTGTATGCGATTCAAAAGTATAGGACGAACAAATACTGTACACAAGTCAAAGTTTTTGGCATAGACATGGCCAAAGACTTTGCGTTTTGACCATATGGTTTCAAAACCTTGGGCGGCGATCGTAAGTCACTCTGCAGTAATTCTTGAGTCTCGGCTAACTGTGATCACCGGGTCATTGTGTCTGGACAACAGTTATCTCAATGTTATTCACCATTTATAAATATGTACCTTGGTGACCAATATTCGTAGTAATGCACCTGGAAGCAACGGTCAAATTCTAGACCGTTCAGATAATTCCTCTAGGTCATTTCAAAGTTCTCAGCAATCACTTTTTATCGCTCCTCTTATCTTGACACTGTCAGCATATAACAAGACCGATGACGGTGGGAGACTAGGAAGGTCATTTAACTACATGAAGAACAACGTACCCAGAAATTGTAATCTAATAACTCCTCTAAGCACAGTTTATAAGTTAGACAACTTTGAGTTGGCTATTACTCTTAGTTTACGTCCAACTAGGAAACCCTTTTTCCAAATCAATGGACTTTCTAATCCTGATGTAATTAAACTTATATAACAGCAGATTGTGAAGATTTTTGTCAAAAGCCTAACTGAAGTCAATGTAAGACACATGTATAGGTAAATTCTGATCCTAGAGAGCGCACTTTTGCGAGATATAAATAATCTGTCCTAAAACCATGCTGGCTTTCATGAAGACTAAGATTTTTGTCTAGATACTCGCGGGATCGTGGATGCGCACTGTTGAGGAGTCCCATACTAGGACGAAACGGCCGTTCAGTGTTTCCAGGTTCCCCATGGTGGTCTAGCTTCAATCGACGAGGAGTTCAACCTGTGAACTTTCTAAAAATCTCCACAAAACCCATTCTGATAACAGTCGAATTCATTGTATTGCAATTCTGTTTCAAGGCTGCAGCAGACATTTCAACGTTTAGTGATTGATCACAATGAACAGTGAACTATTTTGACCTTGCCAAGCAAGTATCATCTGATTTTTTCTTTTCGCTGATGATGAAACTCTGGAGAGAACTCTGGACCAAGATAATAAATCAACACTTCAAGAGAACTGACTGGACATCAAAGGTGGGCAGATAACAACGAAGTTGCTTCCAACACTTCGAAGTGCAATACAGTCCACGCGAGACAAGTTGCAGACTAACATCACAAGTTAAGCTATTCCCCTTTAGAAGCATTCCAAGCAGAATCAAATCTAGGAGTGTTGGTAACATATGAACCAAGGTCTTACGCTGACTGCGACAAAAAGGCTTTGCGAGCGACCTTTGCATTTACGTCCAGTTTGACAGTGGAACTTTCCACCGAATCTTCAACAGTTTTATGCCACTTCATCCAGAGTACACAAATATAGTGTTTCCGTTCGCACTCTGAAGGATAATGATACATTGGGACGTATCTATGTGCGAGCCACGAAGTCAATTTGGGACTCGAATTCAAGTTTCATGAAGAGCGTCTCAAGTCACTGAAGCTTTACCCATCAGAGTCAAGATATGTGAAATTGAGTTACCAGGTTACGTTACTTCTGCTAGTAAATCCATATTTCTTCAACCGATTCTCTACAAACGAATTTTCAGTATCCAGAAGAAAGTGTGAAGTTTATCTCCAGTATATTTGCTTGCTATTCGTTCTGATTTCTGCATTTTAAACCGTAGCGGAATTTAACTTACATACAATGGAGATGTAGTTAATACCTTCTGTTAGTGGGAAGTGCCTATGTCTATTAACATCGTCTGTGTCAGCGAAGGATAGAGTCAAGAGAATTTGAATAGTGTTGCTCCTAGTATTGGATAGAATATACCTAATGATGGACCATAAAAAAGCGGAATACGGTTGTAAACAGTCTGTGATCAAAATAGTTCACTGGCGACTCTAAGCCTAAAACAAGCCCAGTTAACGGATAGTGGAGATTAAAGTCATTTTAATAGACGACCCAACTACAGACGTTCAGAAAATAACTGATGTGTTTCGTAACGTTTATTGTTCTGAACTCCTAGTATTTCCTGGAGTAGCTTGAGTATTAGGGACTTATGTCATGAAAAAATCTAGATGATGCTTTCTTATCAGAAGTCACTTTTAGTTTATGGTAAATGACTGGCTTATTTGAGGGATTAGAATCGGCAAACTGAGATTAATTTACGCAATTATTTATTTAGATTCTAACCAGGTGACCAATTTATACTTGGTCTTCGTCTTTGCTTTTTTTCACTAACTCTCTAAAAGAGCTTTTGGTTAGTCACACGCTTTACCATAGTTAAGTTGATTTTACAATGTCTACCCTTTTATCAACATTAGATCCTGGTTAGGAATTTCCTGTGTTGCAGTGTGCTCATAAAGACATATCTGGAGAACAAGCTTAACCATGGGCCTAGTATCCGAAAAATACTTTCGCGTGTTAGATAAATGTTTCCCTTAGGTCTCTAGCAAGTCAATCATTTGAGCATCACGACAGTTTGAAAATCTGTCATCATGGTTTCGACAAGTCCGGAACCTAAATCGGCTATTCTGTGTCTCTTGTAGCACATTCTTTGTCAATGAAGAGTTTTTGAGCTGTGTTCATCAGCTATATGACCTCTAGGCTAGGGAGAAATTTTGTTGGTACATTTGTTTACCAAGTTTTAAGTAAGGAAAATGTGTTTCCTAAGTGCTGTAGGGCCAGCGAAATGTCACTGAGCCCTAGCCAAATTATCCGACAGTTGGGTCACTGAATATCGAACAAATCATCGATCCTCATCAGGGACAACCAGCACGCATCACTTAATCGTACTCCATGGTCTGGCCCATGCGGCGGTGGTCTTACTTTTGCTTGTATCTACTTAAACTAATATCGTTCTTTAATAACGTCCTTTGTGTTGTACAGTCTTCAAAACATCTAAAATATCTTGATACGTCGATGGGACAATCCACGTATGGTGCTGGTCGTGAGGTGTGACTTCGACATTAACTAGTTCGTCACACCATTCCCGTCTAACTCTAGCAGGCCCTCAATCATTCGACATAGATCACCTACGTTGGTGATCATTAATGCTATAGCTGACTGTTATCTAAACCAAAGAAAACTTTAAAATGTATTAAATGCTTGATTTCACCCAAAACCAAAATATGCGTAAATCGAGAAATATTCAATACTGTAAACTGCTGAATGTATATGTAGTGTTTATTGGAAATTGTTCATAACAGATGTTTCGTGGCTGTACCGATTAAATGACTTGTTGGTGATGTAAAAAGATTCTCACCACCTTTTTGGTTACGACCTATCATTATTCTACTTATCTCCAGACGTTGCTAAACATTCCAGACAAATTATATGTTGCATAAGCGGTTGAATGGTAATTTTATTGCACTAGCCGGCATGATTATGAATGTGGCTATGAAAAGTCATTTGAAATTTCGCGGACAACAAACAAGTATCTTTTATCAAAAACAATATATACGCTGGCCTTACAACCTTTTCATCGTCTAATGACTAGAAAAACAAGATACAAAGACATGAGAATCATATGCGCGAGAAAAATACAGAAATTTTTAAAATTCCTCCATCTGTGAGGAAAAAGTGTAGCAATTGCATTATCTCAAATAATTAGTGTTTGAAAATAAATGTATGTTATTTGTAACTGTACATTTTATTATTTATTACTTGCTTATGTACATATTTTCTGCAGTGTCAGTTTACATTAAAATTTACATTTTGAAGTACTTTATCTCCAATATACTTTACCGTACTAAACATTTAATATTGAATAAAGCAATTATTGTAATTCATGTTCACATTTGAGCTTTCAAATTTCGTTGTGATAAATTAGCTTTTTTAGTAGATAACATTTCAATAATTTTGTGAACATTTATAATAGATGGCCCAACAACATGCAAAATGAATGATTGACTAAAAAATAGTTAGAGGTTAAGGGCATTATCAAGCCACAGAACAATACTTCAGTTTAGTGATTACGACGAATTTATAAAGAAAATGCCGAATCTTTCATTTTTGTAGCAAATAAAAACGAGTGTTAAAATGATGACGGCAGCAATAATGTGATATATTTAGTGTCATATGGGTGGTAAAATTATAGGTGATAATATACATTATTTGATCGGTTTATTGGATTCCATTTAATAGGTATACTGCCGGAGGATTATGAAAAAGTGTGTGGATTAAAAAATAACAGTTGTTTAGTTTAAATTACCTAGAAAGAAGTATGGTGTCATATACATCATGAAAATGTAAGGTAACTGTATATTATTTGTAATCGGAATACAGAATACCTTCTCAACCCATATCTCTATGATTTAATTGATTTCTACAATTTTGTGAAGGTGTAGTATCGTCAAAAAGTAATTCTAAACATGAATTATGTGCCTTGTGTTCACTAAATTTTTCGTCGAAGTATCCTCCTGTTACATTTGAAAATTCATAGTCAATAATCTCTTGGAAACTTCTCACTAGAACGGCAATTAATGTGGTTCCCAACACTAAATAAACTAGAAATAAAAGAGTAAGTAAAAATGTTATTTGTAATTGAAATAAAGGTTATTATTTGATATAGTAGGCTATGTTTTTTCATTGAACTTTGTTATATCAGTTGCTGATTTCAAGTACAGGATTTATTTTATGGTACTTTTCGACTTGAACTAACAGCAACTTAAGAAACAAATATAACCAAAGAAATGAAGTTTTTTTATAAAATATTGTAGTCTCGCGGATATCGCTTAACTACTGTATTAAAATCCAGTAATGTATGTTTCCAACCTAAGTAAATTGGAAAAATGTTGCACCGACCGAAATATTCATTACCAGAGGAATTGGACGATAATTGCACTCCATACCATTTAGTTAATACTATCTAAACATAATACATTGGTTTATGATGAATTGGGTGTTTATTCCGACTATCAAATTATGAGTGAAATGAAAAGTTTTTTAAATAACGTATTACTCTAGAATAACTTTTATCGAGAATAAGTATCCACTGAAAGATATTAAAAATATAGAAGCACCGAATTTCTACTTGTTCTGTTTTGGAATGACCCGAAAGTAATGATCTATCACTCTAAATAGGATGGAACTCAGTGTCTCTAGGTTGCAATCTACTCAATGAATAAGTTAAGATTACTTGATTTACGGATTTTTAAACGATTCAATAATTAATCAAGTCTTCACCATATTGTATATTAATATCTATAATCGAGTTTCAATATGCAAAACTTTCGTGATTTGGTTTGGATATTTGCACATAGAAATATACAATAGGTAGATGTTGAGTATAGCTAGTAATATATTAATATAAAACCTCTAAATGTAGAAATCGAAACTTTCCGATAGAAAGATATTTTACCTAAAGTCCAGTTGAACATACATACATATTTTTAGAATGTGTTAATTGCGCACTTTATCTACAAAGCTATGAAAGCGAAAATCAATAATTGATTGATTAAATTCAGCAAATATTTATGGATATTGGTAGGCCCCACATGTTCATCAAACGTAATTTGAAATCAAAACTTCAATTTGGGAAAGCTTTTACGATACTGAAATAGATTTTGTTCATGAATATTGAATTCGAACAGCGCTCAGCAGAAAAAATTCTGAAAACCAGCCATCAAGATGCAATGAAATAATTGTTATTTTGCTGAGCTCTGAATTTGTCACTCGAATAGATGTTTGGTCGGGGGGTGGAGTATTAAGGATAAACTGCGACTTTGAGTGAACGTAGTGTTTATTTGTCATTTTATTTGTTCTTAGGTAGTAGGTTATATTGATTGCAAAAGCGTGAACTTTATGATCGCGTGTCGTAGTACTATCTGGAGTGGTTATCAACCAGTTAATGATTGAATTATTGAACACATAGTTAACTTTGGTCACGTAACTCTACTGGAATTGTCTTATAAAAGCGTTTTCAAAATAAAAAAAACTGGATTAACAGGAGTTCGGATCATAACTTTGTTCACCGACTTGAATTTGCTTTAGTATACAAGACAGAAATGGGCAATTCTTAACTTTATGATGTTCCTGACAATCCTAATTTTAAAGATTGTGGTTTCCCCTTGATGTTTGATCCTGTATCCTTTTTAGATTCTTAGAATGCACAGCTGTCTTCCCTTCGTAAGTTGTTTTTATGGTACTTCTCTACGGTTCGATGTACAATGCTGGTGGGAGGCCTATATATTTCTACAAAGGGGTAACAGGTGTAAGTATGTTTCTTCACCTTAAAAACTATAAGCGAACGTTTGCTCGGTATTCAAAAACATTTGATGATTTTTATTAGATTCGGTAAATAATGCAACACCTCTCTTTGCTATTAGAAGCTGTGTGTAAAGTGACCTATAAATACGATTGTACATCTTTGACAGCTGACATTGTTGAGAATAAAATTTCCTTAGCTGAATAGCTTATTTTTTTCCGTGATAATGAAGTAGGTTTTTTCCGCTGTCTTAATTTTAGGTTATAAGTGAAATTTAAATTTCTTTAAACTTGGAAGTACTTTTGAGGTTGTCATTTATATGGCAACAGTGAGCCATTAGAGGGGTAGATTTACGACCTGCTTACGTTTTCACTGAAGCAAAACTATTCAATTGATATGTTTGGTATTGAGATTAAGAATATAATGCAATCAAAAGACAACTTGAAAATAATAGCTGCATTTCAATGGAGACTCCCCAATTAACTTTTGAGAAGTATATTAACATCACATATTGTGTATAAATATGGTGGTACAACGAATTAATATGGTGCTAAAGAGAATAAAAAAGTACGACATTTAATTGAGAATTCAGCTCTGTAGCAGTCTAATTTGAAAATGTTCTTGGAAAGTACATTAATAAATGTAAACAATATACTAACTTATTATTTTTACTACTAAGACTATGAAATGTGACACGTTATTTTATGTCGCCATATTAGAAATATGAATTTCCTGAAACTTGAATATACACATTTCTGGTCAATAGAGAAATTTAGTAGCACTTTACACAAGGTCTTTATATTATGTGATCTGTTTCCAAAAAAATATATCAGTCAAGTATCCAAAGAATGATTAAATATATGGGACTCACTTGCAGTCATTACTCTGTAAATATTCTTCACATATAATATCGTTACTAATGATGATGCACTGCTGTCTTTACTTTCACTTGCAACCATATCACCAAAACCAACTGCACTAAGTGATATGATACAAAAGTAAATTGCATCAAAATATGTCCAATTCTGTTCTAAATATGTAAATATAATCCCAGGTATAAGTACTGAGCATGTAATTACTACACAAAATACAATGAAGAAATGTAATAATCGTAAACGAAATATACCATGATGTACATTCACATATCGAAATTGTGAAAGTTTAACTTGTGTAGTTAAAGCCAAATCACTTCTAGATAACTGAGGTAGTAAACAAAACAAAACAAAGTAACTGAAAAAATGAATCAATGCCGAAAATAGTAATAACTAATTTTTTGTATTTGGACTTAACAGTTAAATAATCCCAGTGTAATAAAGTCTACAAGTGAACAAAAAATGCATGTTTATTATGTATTCTTTGAATATTAAAAACACGAAGTTCAGCGAAGGGCTATCTTTCCAACGAATTTATTATCAAGCTATACGATCGTATATATATGAAAAATGCTTTTCTTAATGTAGTAGTTCCGTGAGGAAATGCAAACAAGGAATAACGAAGATGATGTAATAGAAAGATTATAATACTAGATCATGTAATACGAATATTAACATTAGACCTAATAAGTTAGTAACGAATTATAACGTCAATGTAGTAATATGATAAAAATGTTTTTGTTACAATAATTGTAGGTAATTAAAGGTGATAGAGGTGTGAAATAAACGAAGTGATATCATGAGCAATTATGAATAAAATAATGAGAATATAAGACACAATAAGTAAAGGGAGAAATGCTATAATAATAATAAAGGCCAATTAAGGTCCACATTACTAGACTGTGGTCATGGCTACATTAATATACAATGTAGTAAGAATAACTTATTAACTATGAATTATTTGTATCAGCTAATGCTCCTGAAAAGAAATAAGGACTTGCTCCTTAGTAAACCTGACAAAGGAGTCGGTGTACTACTACTTGATCGTCAAGAATATTTGGATAAAGTGAGGTTACTCCTAGACGATAATACTAAATTTTCAAAGCCTAAATGAGAAGTAGACAAAGCACCGCAAATTGAAAAACAGCTAACGAATGATGTTAAAAACCTTAAGAATAAGGGGATAATAACCCCAGACTTATATGATCAAATACATTGGGTGGGTTTGATCATCCTGCGCTTATATGGATTACCGAAAGTACATAAACCTGTTTACCGTTACGAACTATTTTAGATATGTCGAGTTCACCATACCACCGAGTCGCCTAACGGTTGGCTGAAGAAGTGAAACCATTTAGAAGGCAATTATCTAAATATTCTATTCATGATAATTTTCAATTTAGTAATCTCGCTAAAGACGTTAATACTTCCGGAAAGCACATGTTCTCGCTTGACGTTAAGATTTTTTTCACTAGTGTACCTTTAACCGAAACAATATGCCATATGTCTGCCGACTGGTCACTTGAAAGACCTGTTGTTACGTTATATCCTTAATATACAGTTTAGTTTCAACAGTGAAATATATAGACAAAGAGATGGGATCGCGACGAGGTCTCCATTGGGTCCAATTTTAGCAGAATACTCTATGGCAAAACTGGAGAACGACCAATTTAATTCAATGATTAATCGATTTCACCTATACGTAAAATATATGGACGACACATTTGTCATTTGTGACGATAATAATGAATTAGAAGATATGTCACACTCCTTCAACACATGCCAGCCTTCCATAGACTTCGCGTTAGAAAATGAGCTAGGTTATTCAATCTCTTTTCTCGATGTGCGTCTGGCGGGAAGCAGTGATGGTTCTCTAGGAAGATCCATTTATAGAAAACAAACATGGAACGACCAGCAGACCAACTTCTATAGCCGGGTTCTTTAAAGCAGAAAGAGAAATCGTATTCACTCTTCATATTACCAAACAAATTGCATATGTAGTACGGAATGCATTGACGAAGAACTCGCATTTCTCAGAAAAACGCTGACAAAAAATGGCTATTCAGACCTATTCATAGATAAGAATATGGAAAGAAGTAGTTGTGATGAGGAATCCGGTTGTTCTGTTCAAAAGAAAAACCTTCAAGTAGGTTCGGAACATAAACGTGATCGAACATCTAATGCAATCCAAAATCGTTTAACGACAGAGATAAAAGGAACATTCTATGAGGCAAAACTGCGAATAAAGTTCACAAGTACGAACTTATTTTCTGTATCCATAAAAGACAGGCTTCTCTGTCTGGTCGCCTCCATATGCATCTACCAGTTCATCCGCTCTAGTCGAGCAAGGTACATTGGCCGTAGCCAGCGTTCGCTTTCAACTCGGATACGGAAACATGTTCCAGTGTGATTCTACAAGGTTGAGAGGAAAGCATGTAGGGATTCCATACCTGAACATCTAATCGACTGTATTCATTCTGCTAATCCACAGTTTGATTTTAAGGTTGTATGTATGATTCGTCTAAATCTATCTAAATTTCTTCGTATCCAACTACTAAAAATAGTCGATCTTACCATTCATGAGCTCAAGCCAGAACTACGCGTAAAAAAGAAGTACATCTTATCGCTACCATGGCCTTAATTGTTATTATAGCATTTCTCCCTTTACTTATTGTGTCTTATATTCTCATTATTTTATTCATAATTGCTCATGATATCACTTCGTTTATTTCACACCTCTATCACCTTTAATTACCTACAATTATTGTAACAAAAACATTTTTATCATATTACTACATTGACGTTATAATTCGTTACTAACTTATTAGGTCTAATGTTAATATTCGTATTACATGATCTAGTATTATAATCTTTCTATTACATCATCTTCGTTATTCCTTGTTTGCATTTCCTCACGGAACTACTACATTAAGAAAAGCATTTTTCATATATATACGATCGTATAGCTTGATAATAAATTCGTTGGAAAGATAGCCCTTCGCTGAACTTCGTGTTTTTAATTTTTAAATGGGAACCGTCTGTCAATTCTTTGAATGACATATAGATTTTGAATGAAGTAAAAACTAATTGCTATAATTAAATGTTATCTTTTACTGCGATATCAAGTGTCGCAAATATTACAACTAGGAGATTCTTTGATCTGGTGTGTGGTAACAAGTAGCCGTAGCATTTTATTTTTGTCACATAATTTAGTTGAAAAATAAATTAATATTGAGAGATAAAATCAGAGAAGCTTTTTCTTAAACAAATGTAACATTCCTATTTTTAATAATAAATTAACAGAATAAATTAATATGTACGTTATATTTCCAATATCAAGAATAAAACTTAACTACCTAATGTTATGGACTCTAAGGAATTCAAAAACTTTTCCCATCATTTACTTATCTACTCTAATTCAAATATTTATTCCGAAATAGCTATTCTATACTCGTACAATTTTTCTAAATGTACGGAAAGACAGTGTATTGGTAGACACAGATTGTTTAAGTATCGGTATTCTGTACATGACTTCAGTTTACCGTTAGTCAAAACTTGCTGACGCTTTTATCGCTTTCAGTTAGTGTTTTTTCCTAATTACACAGTATGATGTACAAGTGTTCTATGTTTTGTATTTAAAATTTTCCTAAAACTATACATGGTATGTGAAATGATGTTACCGAAGAAATAACTGAGTAGAAATTCGAAAAAGCGATATTGAGCTCAAAATCTTGACATATATAGAAACATTTACTCACCAAGTAATGTAGAAATGCTATGCAAGAAATATGAGCACGATCAGCTAGTGAAGTTTCTGTAGAAAAGCAATCATTAAGATTACATGTATTTTGTGTTACTTCTCTAAATATTTCACTCAATGAATGTCGAGCTGGTTTATCAACGTTTTTTACATAAGTTTCTTTTTCAGTGTGTCCACTGAATTGACTAGGAGATGATTGAGTTGTATCCAGCTGATTTATTCTGTTGTCAGTTGCATCTGGTTGGTTATTTGCTGCAAAACTTAAAGAAACTTTATGTGTTAATTTTTTCGGTACATTAGTTTGACCAGGTATCGTTTTCGGCCTGTTAATTTTTACCGAAGCTAAACTGGGATTCATTGATATGTCATTATTTATATGAAGTTCATGATGTTTCATAATAGATAATATTGGTTTATTTGATTGCTCATGTTTTGAGATTTCATGATCGTTTTCATCATTATTAAAATCTTTTGGATAATTTTCAGTTTTTATTGCCAGAGAACTTTGAGATTGAGTCTTGTTTGTTGATAAAGATGTTGATAAGGAAGTTACTGAGGCAGTTTTATTTGATAATCCGTCATCTTCGACGACATTCTTTGGCTCAGTGATATTGCATACTGTTGGTGGAGGATTTTTTTTCACGATGTTATTCGATAAACGACTGTAAGAAAGTGACAAGAATATCAAGCAAAAAGAAGTGAGAAAACAAGGTGCTATGATAAAGCGCGAATACTTGAGTGGGCCAATTGATAAGAAGTCAAATATTATTCTGGGAAGCATTAAAAATGTAAATTACATAACCACGATAATATCAGATGAACCAAAGACTCTTTTCAAAAAAATATAAGACTAAGACAATGAACAATTGCTGCTTTTCCTTACCTTAGGAACCCACTGTTATTCACTCTATATACTACCCAAAAAATTGTACCGTATCTACTCTATTGCCCGTATCCGCAATATCTTTTCCTGCAGTTCTGCTGAGTAAATTGAGGCCATTCACTGCCGTATCCTTAAATATGCCTCTATTAGATTATTTTAGATAAGATCAACTCAGTTTTCCTAACGTACAAATACATAAGTTTTAAAACCAATAATCAATTGTAATATTTCATTCGTTGAAAGAGTGTTTGTGAATAGACTTTATAAGAAAACCAGTGTTTATTAAAGTTCTTCCAATGCGTCTCGATACACTAGCAAGTGAATCCTCAAAACACAATCTCGGTGCCCTCGAGGACAGTGTGATAGTAAGACATTTTATATAAGGTATTGGATAAGACAGTGGTTATCTCACTAAGTTTATTCATTTAGCATTATTCTTAATGTCACCACTATTATGAAGGCCTTACAATTGTTTTTTCATTTCTTAATTACTATCAATTTTACCACTAGGCATAGCTTATTAAAAATACGTTTACACATTTCCAGAGGTTGATTATTATTAAGTGGTATTTTCAGTTATATGGATTTCTTTATTTTAAAACGAGTACTTATTGTTTTAGCTATCCAGGTTGATTTTCTGATGAAAGTCAACTAGAAAGCGAAACTCTGAGATAAGGCATTCTATACGCAAATAGAAGGGTAAATAATGCGTTCACCAAGTGTCTGCTATAGGCATTTGACATTTATGATCGACAATCACAAGATATTTCCAGACGTTAACTAGTTCTGGTTTAAAGTGTTAACTGGTATACTATGTCTATTGATTGACATTGCGTATATAGAGTTGTATAAAGTGTATGAGATACCTTGATTCGGTAATTCAATAAATAAACTAAGTGACGACGTTAAATTTACGGATTTCTTTGAAATGTGAATTGAATAACTGAATACGATAAAAATTATATTCAACAAAAATCATGTTTCGTTTAACTAAAGCTGTATGCAATTAATTAAGTGCAGTGTGAGAGGTTTTCAAGGATGTGGATCATAATTTTAATCGTTAGTAACTACTTGTTGGCTGTGAAACAAATTCAGTCGAGAAAATAATCATTGTATTAAATATAACAGTTAAAACAATGATATTTACATTTTACGGATTAGTCAGGATTATTATTGATAAATTAATCACTTACAAATACCAGATAGAACAAAATGAATAGATATAAGATTGAAGAAATAATGTGAGATAGATAAATACTAACAAGAGATATGATTACAGTGAGAGTAGTTATTCAGAAAAGTAGTCAAATATCAGTGAACAATTTACAGGAAACTATTGTATAATGAACCTACACATAGGTTTGTTTATTTACCTACATAAATACAAATACAATTATTTGTGAATAAATTTCAAAACTACGATCCATAACTGTTTTGAGACACATTGAGGGAATGGACTATTGTTTATTCTTCTAATTACCTAGTTCTATCTGATTACTCTGTATACATGATTTATAGATTCATGAGCTAACCTACTAGTTGTTCTATTCACGTACGACTTGTAAATTTAATTACGTTACATTACGGTACCTCTAGAAAGCAAACATAAAAATGATGAATAGCAACTGGAAAGGAATGTCCAGAACAGAGTTGGATGAGGATGATGGTGGGTGATCTATGCTCCTCCACGAGAGGTAGTAGGCATAACACATGATTTAGCAAAAATATAAGGAATTTCGATTCGATATTAATGAAGACATGATTGTCAAAGTAGCCGTTGTTTTGATTAGTTTAAATAAATTTTACTGAGTGTGTATCTTTACTTTTTCATTGTACGGCTAGAATGATGACATTTCCAAAAAAAGGAATAATATCTAAGTTTTTATGTTTTATTGGTAAAATATTTATGTAGTGTAGGAAATAAAGTAGAACTTAATCTTTAGTTACAACGTAAAAATCATAGTTACGTAAAGTAAAATTTCATTACATCTCTTTAGTACGATTTCGTTCCGAAAAGAAAGACAGTTTATGATTGGCTATCAAATTAAACTGAATCAATGGCTCAATTAAGTGGAGAGTATATCTAAATTCTAAGATGATATCAACCAACTAAATCTATTATTATGAAGTTTTGCTTATAGAAAACAAATCCACTAACAATGTCTATATAAAGAAGAGGATAATCTGAGTTAAAGTAGTATTGTTGATAGCTGTGGATATTCCTTACTTATTTAGGTACTGTCCAATATATATGTGCATTTTCTTTCGTCTTAGACTTGTACAAAATGCTACAGATCTCGCCTAAGTTGCGCTTAGACAAGTGGAGAATGTATATTCTTTTCACAATCCAAGCACCAATATGAAATGGAGAAAAACAAAACCACGGTTGACTGATAAAAGCAAGTGTAATTTTTTTAAAGAATAGTACTTAGTAGTGCTTTTTGGTGTCGGTTGCTATGTTAAGCTCACACGGCTTATTTTAGCTTTCGTAAAGATCAGTTTATTCATCCGTCTTGAGTCACATTTTGACCTTGTTAATTATTTGCTTATCAACCTTGACTGTTTTTATATGAGCGTATGTGTGTGCACTTCTTATTCTATTCATCACATGTCTGTAACTTATTTTTGTTCGAATATAAATATCGATTCACGTTTGGCTAAATTGAGTTGGCTTACCCACCTTCTCCATTGCGTGTCATTTTGTTATGCTTCGCTATCCAACCAACGATTATACGAAATAAATGTATTCAAAAATCCATTATCGTATTTGAATTACTAAATTCCGTTATTCACCAACGCGATTTAGGTCGATGACTGTATACGAGGATTGGCGATATGTGTATTTCGGTAGCAATCATACATACTATCCAATCTAGAGTCAGATTTAGGGCCGCAACCTATCTTGGAAGCGTTGAAACAATCTTGAATGAATAAAAATGAACTGTTATTTCAAAACATTTTGGAAATCGTTTTCATTATTTACTGGTATAAATTTAAGTAGTTATGGAATTCTTCATGTAAGTTTCATTTTGTATTTGAATTTTGTTTTAAGCATTCACGTATTTAATTAACATTTCTGAACTCAAGCGTATAGATGAATTTTCATCGATCAAGTCAAAAATTCGTATTATTCAGATAGCAGTTGGAAACCGTATGATTTAATATGCGAGAATATATGTATATTTTAAATAAATTAGTTGATATATAAAAATTTAATTGGTCAGTAAAACAGCAAACTAACCTGTCGGATAACGATCTATGAAGCACACTCGATTCACTTCGTCCGTCTGGAGCATTAACTTGTCGTCGGAAAAGAGATTTAAGCTTGAAAAACAATTTTGAAACTCTATGTTTATTTTCCTTATTTAGGCATGGTTTTATATCTTCCATACTTTTCCTATGTCCGCTTAAAGAATTAAAATTTGAATGTTTCCAATTTTTATTATGCTTGTTATGATATGTATCATGATCGCTTGAATAAGAATAAAAATCAACTAGGGCATTTCGTGACTTGCGAATAATGGGCATGCACAAAGAAGCTAGTACGGAAACCAGGATCACATTCATTGGAATTCCAACAGCAACCAGAAATATACAAAAAGCTTTGCCGTATATAGTAACTGGACTGATTGTTCCATAACCTAGAAAAGTTATTCAAAAATCAAGCATATATACTGACAGTAATAACATTAAAATGTTCATTTTCAAAAAAAATTGCAAAATAAAACATAACTGAACGTTATTTTATTTGACCTAATTATTTTCACATTCTTTTAAGGTATTTCACAGTTGAAATTAGTTTCTTTAAGCAGATGATATGGAAGAAAATTTAAGTAAGCGGATAAACAAAATCGGTAAAGGTGAAATAAAATTTCACGACCACTATACGTTATATCTCAATAATGTGACTGTGTAGAATAATGTGAAGCTTAAGCATTCTTCCTATTTTTTGTGATGCCAAATATCATATAAAAGAAATAAGAATAAAAAAAGTCAAAACTAATGGTTTGATGCAAAAAGGTTTTGAGAAGTAAAATTGTCAAATGAGTGAACCAAATTGTGATATATGGATATAAACTAATTATTATAAATCGACATCGGATAATGATAATCAAGTACTCAGATATAATATATACTTCACGGTAAAACCATTTACAAATTATTTTTCCCTACCATAATGTAAACATCTTTTGAGTTAAGTAAATAAAAAGATCATATTCCAGAAATAATTACAGAATGAAACCCATTTTACAGACATGGTCCAAAGTTCTCTAGAAGGTGATTATTCGTCAAAAGTGCGATTGACAGTTTAATGAGTTTTAGAATCTTGAATCGATCAATGTTAGACCACTATTAGAAATGTAGAAGCACTGGACGGTCATTTCGCCCTAGCATGGGACTCTTCAGCATTGCGTATCTACGATATAACACTCAAGACTTGAACCTAAAACCTTTGGTCTCGCAGACGAAGCAGCCTTTCAGTGCCTCTAGGTTTTCAATGGTGGTCTGACATCTATTAGTTCATGATCTCAATTAAAACCTCAACAATTTTATTTCCCAAAACCCTTTCGTTTGAAATATATATATATATATATATATATATTTGTTGTTGACAAACGGAAAATTATTTAAATTTAATGTGTGTTGGATATATCATCTACTTCATTTTTCATATTAAATTGGAGCTTCCAGTTATCAACATTTTGAAAAATTCAATTAAATAAACGAACAAACATCTTTGATGTTGTTTCCTCAACCAATATTGATTAATTAAGATATTTCTGAAAGTCGATAAATTCTTAGAACTATTAACTTAGTTTCTGTTTCTTTTACTTAGAGTATTTAACAAATTGAAAACAAAATGTTAGTATAGTTCAATATCTAGGAACTCAACTCTCTCGCAATTTTATCAGTGGCTTTAAAAAACCGGATTCTCTAATCATATTATCATTCGATGAAACTTTCTTTCGATGAACTATTTTTGCAAAAAACGGATCATTTATCTAAAATCCACAACACGATATCGGAATTATAAGTTTCATTTCTTGAGTTCTATTCATCAATGAACTGTATATGTATGTATGTATATGTATGATGCATTGTAATGATATATTCCCTGCAAACGTCTGTAGAACGGTATGTTTTATTATAACAGATTTTGTCTAATAAGTTACAAAAATAGATTTGCAAACACCTTTTAATCCCATTTGCGAACTCTGCTTTAAGGCGAAGGTGAAGTAGGAACCCACGTCCAACAACTTTTATGCAGATAACGTGTGTACGGAGATTTATAAATAAGTGGAAGAAAACACAAACAAACTATATTGAGAATACAGCTCCCTGTTGATATCTCTGCTTCAGAAGTGATGTCGTCAACAGTATAATTAACTGAGAAATAAATGACTTGGCAAAGGTTGCCTATTTGGCTTCTGCTTTTTCGTTTGCTATTAGATGAACGCATCACCAAAACAGTTAAATACTGACGATTTTCATATTAACATCAACATCAAATACCTTATGCCAGCCAGATCACATGAAATTGAGCAACAAAGAGGAGGTTACATTTTCGCATTCTTGAGCTTCTTTCATATAAATCCCTAATCAAAGGTTCGAAGTCCTTTAACGATGCAATAACTTACCTGTTTGTTGAAAGCAGTTAAGTTGTCATATTTATGACTTTTAAAATAGTTATCGAGTAGAGTGATGTGAGTTTTTTGGGTTCTAATCAGTTAGTTGCTATCATGATACTTAAATCTAGATTTGGATTCAAAAAAGCGTTATTTATCAATACCATTGTAATTCAAATTTTTGATTACCCTACTTCAAATCGTTGTCTTCTTCCTACTTCGAAAAACTTTATTATAGGATACTTACTTATTCATTTCTTTTAAGGTCAAATAAATCTTATCAAATATTTTAAAAATAACTAGTCTTGTTTAATTTCTTATTGTTAGGTAATTTCTTGTCATAATATTTTTTCAACTTTTTCATAACATTCTTAATAATCCTATCTCATTGATAACGACTGTGTTCCGGTTTTGATCATGTATTATCATATTATGTTTTGGTCAAACCAATGCAATTTTTTTAAAACTTGATTACTTTTGTAGGCAGATAATTAGAATTCATAATATATAAAAATAATGCAATGTCATTTTATCTCATATTCTATTTATGTTATATCTAAAACTACGAAGTGAAATGATTGCGCAACACATCAAGTAGTAATTGGCATTTGATTTTGTTTGTTAAAAATATTAAAATATCACACAGTAACATAAAATAAATGAAATACAAAAATACGAAACAATACATTTCAATATTTTTCTACATTTGACCTTAAACAATTATGCTTCATGTTGAATTCATTTACAAATATTAAACTACGATATAAACATTGTCTAATCTATTCAAATTGTTTTTGTTATATTCACATGATGTAAAATTATAAAGTTATTCATTCATTCCAGAAAATGTTGAATTTAGGTAATCGACTGGAAATCTACAACATTATTTTAGGAATTTATTTAATATATTTTTATCGTAATAAGTCTTGTCATTATAAAACTTAATTATTGACAAGTATCACTTGTCATATGCTTATCCTCTTTCATATTTATTATTTAATCAAATGTTATACTTGAGCATACATAATGATGTCTTAAAATGATGAACTAAGTATCATTTATTGATGTTTAGATTATTAAAATATAGTAAAAAAGGCTCATAAAAAAATTATAGAAAAGTGCTTTTTCGGCGTAACCCATGATTTTGATCGACTTAAGAAATGACTAAATTGACTGTGAAGCATTTTAGTGAATTCATTTGAAAGAATCAAATAACTAAAATAAGCATAGAAAAAAACAGCTCTTGATTAATAATAACTTAAGATCGATGAAAATGATAAACCCAGTTTTTGGATTTGGAGCCTGTCAGTTATTTCACCATAGTATATTGCTATGCTAACGAGTAGTTGACTTATTAGTCACTCATTCTTTTTCAAAGCAAGTAAATTCCCTTGTCTAAGCTTATATATAAATACCTATTAAGATAGCTATATTCTTCCTGGTTTTGTCAAAAATATTAGTACAAATATGACATTTTCGAATGATAGATCTAGCACCATATGAAATGATTAACCTCTTAGTTCTATAGGTATATTGGATTAGCAAATCGATTAGAAGTATGCAGAAAGCTGAGAGACTGATATAATTCTGGCTTTTTTTAGCTTCGAAAAAAGTGCTGTTTAATAGATATTCCATAAGAGTTCTTGTATACTATATGCGTGACGGCTTCAAATTTCTGTAGTTTAATGTGTTGTAAGGTTTGATGATAACGAGAGATTGGTTTGACAATTTGACTTATCAATATTAAGTCTAATGTTATTTAGTGATTAATGTTTACACTAAGCAAACAGATCAGTTTGTTTCAAAAATCTTTTTGACCCACCACACTATGACTATCATTAGTTTAATGACAATTTTCACACTCCATTTGACCTCGTATAATACTAGTTGAAATAAGTACTATAGTGATTACACATAGAAAATCCTATAAAGGCTGTAACTAAAGAATAAAACTTATTAAAGTAAATATAAATGTTGTAATATTTTTGTAGAAATATTTGAAAAATACAATTAGAAAGAGGGATATCGTCAATATGATAAAGATGTTGGTATATGAATACTAAACAGATCGAACAATTTAAACCATTTAAACTCTACCCTGTGAGTTGAAGGAAGAACTGTAACGCCGCGTGATGAAGGTCGAGAGTTTTCAGAAGTCACGAGGGCGATGCCCCTTCCTATAGACGGTTATAGGCGGCACAATATTCCCACACAAACGCATACACAAAGCTAGCCACATGGGTCTCACTGGACCGGATTACACAAAACCAGATCGACCGTATTTGTATAACTAAAAAATTCAGAAGGTCAGGACAGAAGCTGACATAACTACGTATCACCACCAATTGGTGGTTACCAAGATGAAACTGAGGCTAAAGGAGCACTGAGCAACTGGGGAAACAAAGGTTCAATACAGCGTTTCTTAAGGATACTGTCAAATTCAAACAATTCAAGATAGCTGTCAACAACAAGTTCCAAGCCCTACAAGATCTACTGGAACGAGAAGAAATCACCATGGAAGATAACTGGAAAGGCATCAAAGAAGCGCTAACCATTATGTTCCGATAAGCATAATGAATGGTAACTTTTTGGATTCACTTATGGACCACTACAATGCGTACATTTTTATCATATAATTGTTAAATAACTAAATTATTCATATTCATGTCCCTTTTATTATAAGCTTTATTTTGACCTATGAACTATTATTCTACGATTTACCATTTTTGAATTATGCCCTGTCTATTAATTACTACCTCCCACACTCACAGCTACATTTGGCTAAATTTTGTAAAAAAGTTATTTCCTATTTTATGGTACGATGTGATCTGTTTGGTTTGTATATAAACCCAGTATGTTTGGAATACATGATTCATATTTCAGAGACTGAGATTGATGTTCTGAACTTAACTGGCTGGGCTAGGAAGAAAGCAGAACCGATAAGAACTCTAGAGTGCTCGCATGGGTTTTAAGCGTCATTGGTCCGATCGATAATTCACAATTATCTAATTGTCTGTATCATCACGGTATACATTGATAGGGGCACAAATCCACAAGTAATAACAATTGGCGACAGGAAGAAAACAAAAGCCAAGGACACAATACCACAAGTTATAGCACTAACTTCAAATTGTCAGGAAGTTCTGAGCCACAACGGGCATCATCATGAGGAACGGATCTCCATCGAAATCCCGGACAAGATTCAAGAAAGAGAGAACAAGAAGACAGCGAATAACAACAGCCGAATAAGAACAGAGCAAGTAAGGCACAAGCTGAATTCACTGAAACAAACAAGCAATTGAGGAGGAGATTTAGAGCCGACAAGCAGAAGTACGTAGAAGACCAAGCAATGGCTGCGGATAAAGCTGCAACAGAAGGAAAAATCAAATAGCCATTTAGCACGACGAAGAAACGAACAGGAAAATATAATAAACCAGAGACACTGGTCAAAGGCAAAGAAGGCAAGCCAACCATTGAGATTCAAGAATGCAGAAAAAGATGGGTAGGACGCCGTGAGAAAATCTTGAATAGGCCAGCTCCATTGAATCCACCGGACACCGGGGCAGCACACACACACACCTTCCTATAGATATCACTCTACCAACGATCGAAGAAATCAGGAGTGAGTAAGCAGCAGGACTTGACAATATACCAGCTGAAGCACTGAAGTCACACACAAAAGTAATCGCAAACATGCTTCACGTTCCATTCAGGAGGATTTGCGAGGAAGAACTAGTGCCTCTGACAGACTGGAAAGAAGGATATCTCACCAAGATACTCAAGAAGGGAGATCTGAGCTAGTGCGAGAAATACACAGTCATCACACTATAGTCAGTACCAGGAAACTTATTCGACAGATTGTTGCTGAACAGGGTGAAAGATTCAGTAGACGCCCAACTTCGAGATCAACAGGTCGGATTCCATAAGGATTGGTCGTGCACAAACCAAATCGTGACACTACAGGTCATCGCTGAACAATAAATTGGATGGAATTCGTCACTGTTCATCAACTTTCTTGACCGGAGGGAAGCATTCGACAGTGTGGATAAGAGAAGTCTATGGAACCATCTTCGACACTATAATGTACTTGTGGGAATCCTCAACACCATCCGCATTCCATACGACGGGCTACGCTGCAAAGTGGTGTATGGAGGACAGCTGACAGATGCATTACAAGTAAAGACCGGAGTCAGACAAGGTTGTCTACTCTCCCCCTTTCTCTTTATTCTATTGATTGACTGGATTATGAAGACCTCCACATATGAGGGGAAGCACGGAATACAACGGAGAGTATGGGTGCAACTAGACGATTCGGACTTCGCAAATGACCTAGCTCTTCTCTTCTATGCACATCAACAAATGCTGGTGAAGACACCTAGTGTATTAGCAGCCTCTGAAGCAGTAGGCCCCAACATATTGAAGGTAGAAACCAAGATCCTCAAATACAGCACGGGGAACACCAACACGATCAAACTTCGTGGAGGAACTTTGGAAGAGGTGAAAACGTTCACACACCTGGACAGCATCATCGACGAACAAGAAGGATCCGATGCAGACTTGAAGGCAAGGATTGGCTAAGCAAAGACAGCATTCCTACAGTTGCAGAACATATGGAACTAAAAACAACTGCCAAACACTATCAAAGTCAGAGTCTTCAATACGAACGTCAAGACAGTTCTACTGTACGTAGCTGAAACTTGGAGAACCACTACAGCCATCATCAAAAATGTACAAGTATTTATAAACAATTGTCTACGTTAGATACGCAATGTCCGTTGGCCTGATACCATCAGCACCAGCCTAATGTAGGAGAGAACAAACCAGCTTCCAACTGTGAAGGAAATTAGGAAAAGACACTAGAAGTGGATAGGACAAGCATTTCGGAAATCACCAAAATGCATCACGAAGCAAGCACTAACCTGGAATCCTGAAGGAAAACGGAAAAGTGGAAGGTCAAAGAGCACATTGCACTGGGAACTGGAAGTAGACATCGAAAGAATAAATAGCAACTGGAAAGGACTGTCCAAGACAGAGTTGGATGGAGAATGCTGGTAAGCGGCCTATGAGTCTCCACAAGAAGTAACAGGAGTAAATAAGTGATTAATTTCTAAAAATCATTCATTTATTCTCACGTATGATAAAATTGTTAATATTCCCACTTCTTTACATCATTTCTTTAAGCTGGTAAATAGCTTCTCAGTTTTAATGATTAGGTTTCAAAATTTTTCGGGATCAGTTTATTCATTATTAAGAAGATGGAACATCATAAAAATAATGGGTATAGTCCCGTCTTAAATTAGTTTTTAAACATTTAAAAATACTACGGCTAATATAAAAGTAATCCAAGTGGAAAAATATGCTTTTGTTTAATTAACATGTACAAATAATTTTCTTATATAACATGATTTTAAAAGCATCTTAACTATAGAACAATAAGTTCCAGCTATATGTGGTTTTGGATTCGGGAAACAGAGTAAGCACCTATACTGATAATGCATATAGTAAATCACTAAACATTGATTTCATTGCTGTGAGTACACATATTAATTATATTAATACAAATATTGGATATTCAATTCGTCTGTAACCAGTTGTCATATTTCTCTTAAACATTAACGGAGTGATAGGCGTGTGTTTGTCAAAGATATTTTAGCCCTGTTACTGAAACAATGTTTCAAAATAAAACGTTGAAGTATTTTCTTGTTCAATTGTTCATAAATCATTAATGTCTTTCAAGTTAACATAAATTTTTTTTATCAACGGTTCATTTACTACTATTACTTATGATCATGAAAAGTTTTTCTCTTACAGATAATAAATAATTAGACTGGTTAATAGCACTCAAGATAAAAACGATTTAAATAATTGATCTTTTCGAACTGAATATGCAAAATCTTGCAATTGATGAAAATTTTTAATAAACGGATCGTTCATTATTGATATCACTTTTATCAATAAAAGATTTGAAGTTTCTGGCCACGGTCACTTGATCAGCAATGAAAATGCTATATTTTAAAGTTAACAGATTGTTTTTAATTCTTAGGAAAAAGTAACTGTTTTATCTGCGTTAAATAACTAGTAATAAAACATTTTGAATAAAATATGAATATTGAGATGGGCTTGAATAATCCTGTTGTTGAAATAAAGGACTGCATTTTAACCAGTTTTTGTTAGTATATGCAGATCCTAGGTGGAACGCTTAGATATAATCTTTTTGTCACAACTCTTACAAAATAACTGGATAGTGGCTAGTAATGGAATCCAGGAGTTGCGTTTTGGCGCAAAATGTAATAGACTTGAGTCCTAATGTGAACGTGAACACTGAGATTTATGTTCACCATGTATAGGATGAAACGCGCTCCTTGAATCGCAATGCTGGTCATAATCATCTTGTTCTATGAAATTCTTTCAATAAAAGTTCACATTTTACCTAAGTTATCAATTTTTACTGCCTAAATTATGATTATTTTCTAGTGACATGAATGCAAAAATCTGTTACTTAATATATCCATGTTAATTGTGACGCTATTTTAATCTTACCTATAGTTGTAATAACTGTTATCACAAAAAATACTGATTCATAAAAGTTCCAACTGCTGTTATTTATTTCTTCTTCAGTTAGAATACGTCTAGCGATTGATTCCAGTTGAGCATTTACTTCAGCATTCATTTCCAAATAAAAATTTTCGTGCCAATTTTTAGGAATGCTCAGTAAGTCATATTTGCTAATATTTTTAATTGGTGTCATTGATATACCCATTTTTGTGGCTGATACAATATAACTAACAAACTTCTGAAGTTCTTCACCTTGAAGAAGAATAAGATAAATACACAATCTTAGTGATTTAATTCATCTTAATAAGTAAAATATTTTAATACACACTAGTATTTATCATATGCTATCTAAAAAATAATCAAAATGAAAACTCATGTCTGTCAGACCTTAAGATTGATCATTTTCACCTATTGATTTTAAAAAAAATCAATGTTCACAATGACATACTTTACAATGGGGGTTCAATGAGAGTTGAAATTACTAGTTTTTTCTAAATCTGTATTGAAATGTTTTTCTCTACTTATTTTCGGACGTTGTACAGTTTCCCGTAATTTCTGTCCGGATTTTGGAATTACGTGTAAAATTACTCTACAGTTTTATAATAAACCACCGTAGATAAGAGAAATAAGGCTTAAAAATCTAGGCTATCAGCGAAAAAACTGCGTTTACAGGTTTTTTAAGTTATGATTCTTTGATTTGATAACACTATGTATTTGTGTGGAAACGATGTACAAAAAGTGTTGACACGGAGAGACTAAATAACAATATTGGTAGACTACTAATGAATAAATATGAAATATGTTTTGGAAATATTCATAACAGTATTACTGATAAGGAAATCACAATGACTTTTCCGGTTTCATATAGAAAGAAAGTCAAAACTAAAGTAAATCTAGGAACTAGATGTGGGCTAAACTCACAATACTGCAAGTTAAAAAGTGACTATTGTAAGGAAATGAGCCTATGTTTCCATAAAACTCCATCTCTTGAATTCGATTACCAGTTAGTTGGACTCCTTCATGTAAATTAATTAGGGCATACGCCTGTTATAATTCGTGTTTGAGACTAAAAAAGTAAGCTTAAACTTAAGAATTATGTCAGGAGAATAAGGAATTAACTCATGTTCAAAATGAAATTTATGGTTCAAGTCGTAAACGAAATGGTCAACCTTTAACCTTTAAATAATCGTTGAACACAGTCACAGGTATTCTGTATAAACAATAGTTACTTATTTTTTATTTTTATTAATAGTATTTTTCCCTTAAAATTTCCTATTCTATAGATTGGTGTATTAATGAGACCTCAGTGATCCATTAACTTTTAAAATATCACCAGTAATGAGATCGGACACAAAGCAAAAAATTACTGAATAACAAATATACATATATTACTTGATACACATGGATTAGTCCTCAAAAAATTGATTTGTGAAGCGTGTAAGCGCAATCTTTCTAGTCTTTCTGTCGGTCGTTCTAGTAGGGTTAAACAAAGTGCACCAAGACAACAAAATGATATATAGGCCATAATGAATAAAAGTAACGGCAGTTTCTTATAGAATTCAGAGTGTTTTGAGGTTGTTTCATTATTATTCGAGGACAGTATTGAGTTATTATCTTGTTTTGGCCGTTCATCTTCATGATGTTCTTGGTTACCAGTCATATTCAGAGTAGAAGTTCTTGGCTGGAATTCGCTTTTTTTCAACAACTAAATGCCTAAACTGAAGAAAATAAATTATTTCGGTTATATATCTGATGTTTCTTTTTAAAATAAGTCTACAGAGACCTAAGTTATCACAATTTTAATATATTATGATAGAATAATACCGTATAATGAATATAGGATGAACTTTAAAAAAATATTTACTAATAAGTAACATTCACCTATTATTTTATTTAGACAAAAAGTACCTTTATAAAGCATAAACTACAAGTGACATTAGTTAGGACGATTCGCTAAAACCTTAAAAATATTTGTAATTAGTTGATAGAATTTTATGCCAGTTTTTGAATCAACTACAAAGTCAAGTTACCATTTATACGTATTTAATCAATTCATATCTAACGTTTGTGAGATATCAAATTGTTACTCATCTGGATATAGTCAAATGAAACTATAGACCCATTGAGGTGGTGAAGAAGATTTGTAGCTCAGGTGAGTGGTTTTGATGGAGTTTTGGTCTCTGAGCTGGATGGTTTGGTCGTGGAGTTTTCATCGTTCTTCTGAACGACATCATCAGCAAAAACTTCAGGTAGAAGTGAAATGTTCGAATTTCTCCACATATGGTTGGCTGCTTGTCCTAGAGACCTTTCAAAATAGGTGTTGCACACAAACCAACAAAATCACAGCAATCAGTCTTATGTAAGCCACAGGATGAAATGACAAAAGACGAAAAACCGAACATAATCTCCAAAATAAATTGTACCAACTGTGAAAAACACTACATTGGAAAAAAAGGGATGCCTTCTTCATCGTTACCTGTATGAACATCAACAAGCGGGCAAACGCCATGACATTTCCTCACTTATATCAATGCACGTGGACAACTGCGGACACATATTCGACTGGAAAATGTGAAAATCTTGGATAGAGACAATTTTAAAAACACCAGAGAACTTTTAGGAGCTTGATATTCCTGTCAATCAGCGATCAGCAAGCACATTGAAATCGACCCACTTTATCAAAAAATCAGGAAAATTGTGGACAAACATAGGACCAAAAATCAAATAAATGGGAGATGCAACCAAAACAAAGAAATAAACAATGACAGATTTAAGGTCAGAAAAAAACAATCAACATCGAGGTCTACAGGACAAGCTGCCAACCATATGTGGAAAAATTCGGACGCTTCACTTCTACCGGAAGTTTGTACTGGTGATGTCGTTCAGAAGAACGATGAAAGCTCCACGACCAAACCATCCAGCTCAGAGAACAAAACTCCGTCAAAAAATATGAACCTATTTTTTGTCATAGTTAGGACCCTTCAACAAGGTCTACATGAAATGGTGAGGAAACTGATTCTCTCCATGAGTTCAAATACACATCGTCCAGGTTCACAGCCAAGACTGACCTCCTGTAGGACTGAAACATCTACAGTCGACTGATCACTGAGTAATGACAATTATCATATTTAGCTGGTCTTTTACGGATTATTGAGTTCGATTGACAAGTGTTAATATCTTGTGACATTAAAATTCATTCTCGATAAAACAAAGTTCATTCAAGTTATAAAATGGTATGATGTGATAAATACTTTTGATTTTTATATTTGTATTTCACATTTATTATTCCTAATGCGACCACATCCGACATAAACAAAGCAACACGTCTGTTTGTTATAAGGTGACTGAATAACTCTCACTTCAGGATCAAAAATACTCACGTACTTTTCAATAAATATAAATCTATAGAAAAGTTTTCAATAAATTTATTTCTAACGATATGTAAGCACTACCATTACGATTAATCAGAACATTGTTTACATAGTTGGCTATCTAAGTAAGCAAATAAGTCAGGGGTTGTGAAAAGTAGAAAATAAATGGACAGCCTAATATAATCAGTGTCTTTAAGCATATTAAGCTAAAAAGAAAACAACATGCAATGTAATACGAACAAAGATTGCAGATTAAACATAAAATAGACTTGTTGGAAAAGATTTCAGTAACAAACTATTGGTTCTATGATCTCATAATTGTGATGAATGCATGTACGAATTCAGCTGTTTATATTGAATAACCTATTTAAGTACTAAAATTTCTAATAATCTATTACTTATAAACTTGTTCCAGAAACACCAGGTGAAACTTCTTGAATTTTGTTTACTGGTTTATTTAATAAACACTGGAATCCGGACATATATTAATTTAACGGTTACTAAAGTTCGCTGTTCATCAATTATGTTGCGCAACAGTATCCGTACAAAAAATACTAGTGAGTATTTCACTATTGAAATTATCAATAAATTTCGAAAATTTCAGTAACTTTATTAAAGTGGATTTTCAAATATTTATCTCTTTATCAGTTACGATTGCTTCATACCCCTTGTTCTCTTGATACTTCTTCAAACGAAGAACAACAAGATTTAGAGAGTAAAATGGAGTAGTTCTATTGTAAATCTTTTCATTGGTAACAAACAGTCTGAGATTGTCATATTTGTGTGGTATAGAACCATGTAATCACTCTATTAGTGCTCCAGCACAATTCGTAAACGAGATCAAAGATGAACCGCCAACACAGCAAAATAATGGTATTTTTCTGTGTTTCAGCTCTATTCACTTCAAAGGAAACAGAACCTACCAAGTATACTATTTCACAACTGTTAAGCAATGAGCAACAACTCTCATAAAACACAAAAGCATGATCAGATACCTATGACAAAATATTTTTTAGCTGTGAAATTTATGGACAGATTAAAGTTCTCTGGGATCACTCCTATTACGGCCAATCAATGACGCTATTATTCAACGATTACGTTGCATTCCTAACAATTATCAAACCAAAGATTTAAATATGCTGCCCATACAATATATTTTATTACTGTCAATGTGCTCATCTCAATGCACTCAAAAAACCAAAGATGATAATGTAGTTGGCAAAAAACTGGAATCGTGAGTAGATAAAATCTAGAAGATGTAAGATGCATCCAGCTGATGGGTCCCAAACAAGACAAAACGCGCGTCTTTGACCCCTTTGCTAGTTACCATCTATCTCTGCCTTTATCTTAAGTCGGTATCGAGGCAATCCGCACAGGATGGGCATATGTCAATATAGACTGATCAATTGCAGTCTTGAAAATCAATGGAAGATTCAAACAAACAAAATGAACTAAAAATAAACGTTTCACATACTTCAACAAGAGACAGAAGTCCAAATAGACGAGACATAAAAAACATGGAACACTGTATCTGAGATTTGTGCATACTTATATGAATAATCTAACCACATAAAGTAGGGGGGTGAAATAGCAAGTAATAGCTGCAAGAAAAACAAGGGATTACGCGACTAAATTCTGTCGTTAAAATAAAACAGCAAAATGGTCACAATATTTATTTTAAATTTATTCAAAGTCACAATCAAAATGTTTATGTCTCACATGATCGAAATGGGCAGACGACAGTACAACTTGACTGAAATATATTGGTAAGTACTACCATAGAACTTGTAAAGAAGACAAAACTTCCAATCCTTTCTGTGTTTGCCCTAGCATGGTAACGTAAGACTGAAAATTTTGACGCTCAGTACAAAAGAATAGACCCACAAGAACAACTGCATATGACCATTAATTTTACTAGTGTAGAAATTTGAACTTATGTCTATAGTTTTCAATAACCTAATGTATTTTTTTAATTTTATATCTTTATGATCTCATAAAAGTTTGCCTTTTGAACTATTTAAATCGTCCACCCCATAAAAAATTAGGTGAAGCTCTGAAGATGTCACAAACAAAGCAGATTTTGTTGTTCAGAATCAAAAAGGTTTTTAAAAAATTGTTTGAAAAGCTATAATTATCACCAGATTTTTTAAATTGCTCTAGTGGATAAATACAGCGATAATATTAATAATAATAATGATAAAACGGACCATTCACAAAGCCATTTCACTCAACTATATCCCTTACGGCTCTGAGGGCTACTCGGTGAATGCAGCAAAAACATTATCAGCATCTCTCGTTCTTAAATTTTTTGGTAATGGCCGCACAGTTCTAAAACACTTGTTTTATATTACTGATAAGGCACAAAAAAGCTAAAAACTATTTTAAAACATTTTTATTTACACTGATATAATTTCATGAAAGTCGAAGCGATGTGTTCAATAGATGACTAAGCGATCAACGTTGTGAACCTTCATTGAAACACTTGCTACATTACTCAATAACGTCGCTAAATAACCGAGCAATCAAGGTTGAAGAATACTAGTAGCCAAAGCCTATTTGTATTACTGACTGCATTAAAAAACAGTTACGGTAATGTGCTTTCTACAGATAATCAACCGCAATACTCAACAATTTTCTTTTTTCGGCATCATCTGCAAAAAAATCTTTCATTTTATCCGCAATCGTCAGGTTCTAGTCACTCAGGAACATTCACCATCACATTCTGTACCGTCAAATTTCCTTCGTTTTGTACACATTTTATAGTGTTTTTGCTATCAGTATTTTTCTGCTCACTTTATCGTGATATCCGTGGGCAAGTGCTCAAATTCCGGATTTGCGATGCCTTTAAATCTGACTTCAAACAAGTTTCAATAATTTTATGAAGTTCAGATTTTTTATGTGAGGTCCACGACGCACCCACAGTGTGCAGTTTAAGGTCATGGGTAACACGACTGATAATGACTGGAAACGGTGCCCGTGAGTTTATTCTTTATTTTCTTTTGGTACTTGAACTTAAAACTACAGCATTTTTCGCATACCGGTTTTATTTCTTTTCAAATTATAACGTCATAGATTGCAATATTTGGTGAACTGACTTCCAGTCTGACATGAAACATCAGTTTTCTTAAGACTGAAGGTATGCTTTGATATCTAATTTCACCCAGAACAAAATCATGTCCAAACATCAAAGCACAGTGCACACAATATAGATTCGCTAAAACCACTGCCCGAACTTCGATTCAATTCATAAAATCCTGTCATTATCAAGGATAAAACAATCAATACGGTGATGGTAAACCACTTGTCAACCAGTTGAATTTTAGGTTATTCACAAACACGCTTTCAAAGAGTAGTTCTTAGTTTTGAGTGAAATCTACGTTAACTAGTTTAATCAAAGAGACACACTGAATAAAAAGCGAGACACTTAAAACAAAACTTTCGAAAGGTATTATACTATGAAACAAAAACTAATAAACTAAGATTCATCAATGGTACCAATTTAAACAAAAAAATAGTCCGGTATTTTACTTAAAATTATCTTAAAAAACCTTATTTGTTAAACGACGAGTGAAATATAACTTGGAAATTCACCTTGTGTGACCGGGTCAGTTTCCATATCAAACTCAAAGGATATCAAAATATACATGGAAGAACTGTAGTAGGACCAACATAATTTTGCTTTTCAAGTAAAAAAAGGACATGAAGACCTTGATCATAACCTACACGTTGCAATTAACCTGAATTTATTTCTAAAACTTCATTTAGAGAATTATTATTTAAGCTAACATGGTTTTTCCTAAATAATAAATGGCATACAATTTTTCAGTTAACAAAGCTTCTCGTGATTTTAAAGCAGACTGCTTTGAGCTATGATCTTATTTTTGGTGTTGGTCTGGCCTAAATGTTGATTTTACTCGTGCTTAGTATGACTGAACACGTCTATTCTTGAAAGGATGAAACTTAAAAGTTTTTTGAAAGGCTACCGATGGATTGCACACAAACACTTCTGTAGACTGAAGGACTGTTTGCCTAACACAAGGTAAAGCAAGCATGATTGGCAGGCATCCTTTATATATTCTGCATCTGAATCTTCTCAATATATATATATATATATATATATATATTGAGGATTTGATTATCTATCAAACGTATTTGTTATACTATGGCTATAAGTACTGTTGGACTGATTATATGAGTGATTTTGGTACTTGAATCGTTAAAAGTGGTTTCATCAATGGATCTGTGGATTATGTTTAAACAAAAAATGTAATTCGCTCGAAATTTTAAATGAGTGGCATGCGTATTTCTTCAAGTGCTTTCTACTCAGAAAATAAACACGCAGTAAACAATCTAAACCCTTTCAAGAACGAATTCATGATAACCATGTGAAACTCGAATATTTATAGACTTTAAATAAAAGGATATACAGCTGTGCTACATCACGCATGCGAACGGATAGTTTGTTCACTGTCGAATAATCCAGCGACCGATATGTTCACTTCAGGGAGCTTTAAGAGAAACAAACAAGTTTGCGTACACTTCCACATCGAATACGCAGTCAACCTTTACTTTAATCTACTTTTGAACGGAGGAAAACATGAATAACCCAACAAATACTTAAAAGTTATGTAGGTGACTTCGGTAACCAAATCACAATAGAACGCGTTTCTCCTCATTCATGCTGCAGCTGTCTGAGTAATTCAAGTCCAGCTGGATTTTAAAATAACCAGACTCAAGGTACTATAAATCACCAAGTAACCAAAAAACCGACCTCAACTTTTGACAGAGACGCTATGATAAACTCAAAGCTAATTCATAAGTAAAAAATATCAAAGTAACCAGCCCAAAAATATTTACTCTTGTAGATTGAAGATCTAATTTTCCTGGCACCAAGGTCCTTCCTCACATGTCAACGCGATAAATGCCAGAGAAATCATAAACGTGCACGAAAGAAGACTTTATAGAGTAATTTAAAACAAAACTGTTCGAAGTTAAAGAGCATATGGTGAAACTCTTCGAAATTGCTTGTAAAATTTAATGAATAGCTTTGCTACTTATAGAAAGCAGTATTTAATTCCGGGCAAAATGTTTGCTACTAGTCAAAAGGGTCTTAAGGTTGGAGTGAAATCAGGCATACAGTCGAGGGATTACTTATCTAATATTGGTCTCCCACGTGGATAGATGAAAAGTGAGATAAATCTATCAGTTGATCATGTTTTGAATTCATTACTGTAAAATCACAAAAAAATAGAGTCTGACTAATTAACGGCAAACGTTATGAGTTAAAATGATACTGAAGATCATTGAGAGCTTTTAGAGTTGAATTCAATTTTACTTGAATAGCACATAAGAAGTACATTGAAACTATGTGGAAGTTACTTCGACAGTCTTTTGATGTTATATTAGATTCGTATAGTGAGGACAGAAAGCCTATGGCCTAAGTTACTCCCTTTCTAGTATGCTTCTCTGAGTATCTAGTCTTTTTTTGAATGATTCAATTGAAGGTGTGGACACATCTGCTCAAGGTAACAGGTCCCAAGAATTGATGACTCCATGTGGAAACCACGTATGCCACTGATATTTTTTCGTTCTAAGCCTTTCTACTCACCTGCTACGTCCTCTGAGAAGTTCCGATCTATTGAGAAGAAAAAGAGAGAATATGTTAGGTCAAAAATCATTCCTTAGTATTCTACATACCAGAATCAGGTCACCTCTTAATATGCTGTAGTGGTAAGTAAATCCCCAAAATATATAGCCCTGTAAGTCTTCGACATTGGATGCAGACCATATTAGTTTTAATGGATTCACCTAACTGTGGGTACGATTCGTGGTAGGTGTTGCTGGTTAAAGCGTTGTCAAACTCCAAATACCTGTGAAATCCTCACTGCGATAGGACAGAGTAATGAGGTCTAGCTTTTAAAACCCTAGAGTTCCGCAATTGCACGGGTAGCTACCCCCTGTATTTTTTTTCAGTATATCCGAGTCACCTTTTAAACAGGAGCTTGCAGCTTAAGGTTGTGTATACTGTGGTGAACATGGTAGTATTTAACTTGGCGAATGTCCGTCTTATAGCCCATAGGGTATGTAGACACACTTTGCCGTGTTGATGGGCATCGGCCACTCCTTGGACCAGTTAATCGCAATATTTAAATCCGCCTGAAGCGCGTATGCATTTGCATCTTATTTAATGTCAGATTTTTACATCGTCAGCGTATAGCAACATTGGGGACTCTACTATACTTGGGAGATCATTTACATACAGTATAAAATATGAAGAACCTATGACAAAACCTTGAGGCATTCTATTAAATACTGGTCTCCAGGTGGCGCACTTCGAATTTATTATTTATTTCTGTCTACGACCTACTAGGAAATCTCTAAGACATTTTAGTGGAGGTCCGGCAATACCAAGGTTTTCTAGCTTCCATAGCAGTCTATGTGTTGGCACCTTGCCAAATGCTTTGCTAAAGTCTGTATAGACAACATCCACTGACTTCCCGTTGTTTAGAACCCTTGTCCATTTCTCCCTTGCTATAAGGAGGTTTTTTGTACAAGATAAACTTTTTCTGAAAACATGTTCGTTGTTTAATAATTTGTTGGTTTCTACAAATGTCATTATGGTCTTTTTGACTATTTTTTTCCCGTAATTTAACTACGACACTGGTGAGACTGACAGGTCTGTAGTTCGGTGGATGATAATAATATTTGAAGGAAGTAACGAAGTACACGATTTTGGTAACTAGAGTTGCCTAATTTTTTTATTTCTGTTAGTGTACTCAAGCGTCAAAATTATAAAACGATCGGTACGAGAATATGGATACACTTTAATGAAGATTGTCCTCGAGAACGTGGAACTTGTTCAGATCATGAGGAGTTGATTGGATGTGATCATGGAGTATCATATATATTATATTCCTCCTCACCCTAACAAATCACCGACTCGTTTCATCAATAAACTTAACGTAAGATAGTGGTAACTCCACCTGTAGCACTTCTATGGTGACTGACGGTCTGAAGCCCGGGTGAATAGGGAAGGTTTAGCATGGCATCAGCACTCCCATCCCATGGAAAACAACTTTTCTAAAAATTGTACTAACCAGGATAAATAAATAAAACCAGTTAACTATTCCCTTCCGAGTTGAAAGAAGAATTAATAATAGTATATTTCTGTATGAGCAGGTACACGCCATTCTTACAGGCATGATCTATAAATTACAACACTTGTTGGTTCACAAAATGCTTCCCAACTTGTTGAGTTTACAGTTGTTATAACGTATACTCGTAGGGCGCTTGCTGCAAGCCATGACCTTGAGGAGACGCGCACGTCAAGATTCTTCCAGACGTCAGAAGCTTCATAACTGTGCCCTCACAGCAAAGTTTTGAAGAAAAAAAGAGAAACAGAAGAGCAGCAAGGCACTTGGATATGAACACACAACGTTGCTTAACATTGTGTAGTAGAACGGACAGTGGTATAATGAATTAGAATAAATTCATATTATCTCTTGTTAGAGTGAAATGAAGTCAGAGGCTCCATATAAGAGAATGTAGTAATAAAGAAAAATGAGTTGTGATGTTTAACAAGTTGGAGTAAGCTCACGTGAAGGAAGGGAAGTCAAGGCTGGTACAAGGAAGGAGGTTTATTAGAAGGGAGTGTGCATATAGAGGGTGAAGTGTTAAGAATACTAATGACTATATCTTTTATTGCCTAGTTTTTTCTTTCTTTTCATTTTTTGTCCATCGGATGCTAGTCAACATAGTGTACAGACGAGTAAAAGGGTAATAAAGTATAAACGGTAAGAAATTCACACTAACTTGGTGCTGATGTTATTTTGTGTTGTCCTAACCAGTTGATGGTTAACAGGTCCCATAGATGCAAGACCACTGGTATTAGGCAGTCGATCGTGCGGTCCTCTTGACTTTTCAAGGTGGTAGTGAGTGTCTCTTAGCGACCGAGTTTAGTTGAACAGCATCGATAGGTCCAGTGAGTAACCTGTTTACTTCAAGTGAAGAAATAGGTGGAAAAAGTAACTACTTACTTACTTACTTACGCCTGGTACTCCTAACGGAACATAGGCCGCCGACCAGTATTCTCCAACCCACTCTGTCCTGGGCCTTCTTTTCCAGTTCCATCCAATTCCTGTTCATTTTTCTCATGTCTATCTCCATTTCCCGGCGTAATGTGTACTTCGGTATTTCTCTTTTCCTTCGGCCTTGAGGATTCCAAGTGAGGGCTTGTCTTGTGACGCAGTTGGGTGCTTTCCTCAATGTGTGTGTCTTATCCACTTCCAGCGCTTCTTCGTGATTTCCTCCTCTACTGGGATCTAGTTTGTTCTCGCCCATAGTAGTATGTTGCTGGTAGTGTCCGGCCAACGGATCCGAAGTATTTTACGTGGACAACTGTTAATGAACACCCGTATTTTCTGGATGATGACCTTCGTAGTTCTCCAGGTTTCTGCCCCATATAGTAGAACTGTCTTGACATTTGTATTGAAAATCCTGATTTTGGTGTTGGTTGACAGTTGCTTTGAGTTCCAGATGTTCTTCACTTGTAAATATGCTGCTCTTGCTTTGCCAATCCGCGCCTCCACATCCGCATCAGATCCACCCTGTTCATCAATGATGCTGCCCAAGTATGTAAAGGTGTTTACATCTGCCAAATCTTCTCTGTCAATTGTGATTGGATTGGTGCATGCTGTGTTGTACCGGAGAATCGTTCTTTTCTCTTTGTGTATATTAAGACCAACTGCTGCTGAGGCGTCATAACTCTTCTAAATGAAGACTTTCTGACTCCCAAGGCAAATTTTAAATGGTTTGAATATTTTTCTGGTTAACGTTTTTTTAGCGAGTTAGTTTTCTATAGGATGGGGTCGCTAACTCTATGCCCAACCCTCCTCCTTTATACGGGATTGGGACTGGCAGTAGCCCCTGGAGGGGCTCTGGGCGGAGTTGAAAAAGTAAATAATACAACTGCAAAGTAGGAAAAATAAAGCAAACGGAACTTGAAGTCCATTTTGGTCTAGACATGTAGAGAGCATATGATGTCTGAGTGGGGCGCAGATGTGTTCGTGCGTGCTAGATCAGTGCAAGTGAGAGCTTGATCAAGCAGTTTTACAAACGTACGTAATTCATCTGCCACGAGCGTTTCGGAGGAAAGACTGTTCCGTATAATTGCATAGTTGATGCGGCCTCATGGTGAAAGCCGAGTTTTGACTTTCTTTCTATATGAAACCGGAAAAGTCATTGTGATTTCCTTATCAGTAATACTGTTATGAATATTTCCAAAACATATTTCATATTTATTCATTAGTAGTCTACCAATATTGTTATTTAGTCTCTCCGTGTCAACACTTTTTGTACATCGTTTCCACACAAATACATAGTGTTATCAAACCAAAGAATCATAACTTAAAAAACCTGTAAACGCAGTTTTTTCGCTGATAGCCTAGATTTTTAAGCCTTATTTCTCTTATCTACGGTGGTTTATTATAAAACTGTAGAGTAATTTTACACGTAATTCCAAAATCCGGACAGAAATTACGGGAAACTGTACAACGTCCGAAAATAAGTAGAGAAAAACATTTCAATACAGATTTAGAAAAAACTAGTAATTTCAACTCTCATTGAACCCCCATTGTAAAGTATGTCATTGTGAACATTGATTTTTTTTAAAATCAATAGGTGAAAATGATCAATCTTAAGGTCTGACAGACATGAGTTTTCATTTTGATTATTTTTTAGATAGCATATGATAAATACTAGTGTGTATTAAAATATTTTACTTATTAAGATGAATTAAATCACTAAGATTGTGTATTTATCTTATTCTTCTTCAAGGTGAAGAACTTCAGAAGTTTGTTAGTTATATTGTATCAGCCACAAAAATGGGTATATCAATGACACCAATTAAAAATATTAGCAAATATGACTTACTGAGCATTCCTAAAAATTGGCACGAAAATTTTTATTTGGAAATGAATGCTGAAGTAAATGCTCAACTGGAATCAATCGCTAGACGTATTCTAACTGAAGAAGAAATAAATAACAGCAGTTGGAACTTTTATGAATCAGTATTTTTTGTGATAACAGTTATTACAACTATAGGTAAGATTAAAATAGCGTCACAATTAACATGGATATATTAAGTAACAGATTTTTGCATTCATGTCACTAGAAAATAATCATAATTTAGGCAGTAAAAATTGATAACTTAGGTAAAATGTGAACTTTTATTGAAAGAATTTCATAGAACAAGATGATTATGACCAGCATTGCGATTCAAGGAGCGCGTTTCATCCTATACATGGTGAACATAAATCTCAGTGTTCACGTTCACATTAGGACTCAAGTCTATTACATTTTGCGCCAAAACGCAACTCCTGGATTCCATTACTAGCCACTATCCAGTTATTTTGTAAGAGTTGTGACAAAAAGATTATATCTAAGCGTTCCACCTAGGATCTGCATATACTAACAAAAACTGGTTAAAATGCAGTCCTTTATTTCAACAACAGGATTATTCAAGCCCATCTCAATATTCATATTTTATTCAAAATGTTTTATTACTAGTTATTTAACGCAGATAAAACAGTTACTTTTTCCTAAGAATTAAAAACAATCTGTTAACTTTAAAATATAGCATTTTCATTGCTGATCAAGTGACCGTGGCCAGAAACTTCAAATCTTTTATTGATAAAAGTGATATCAATAATGAACGATCCGTTTATTAAAAATTTTCATCAATTGCAAGATTTTGCATATTCAGTTCGAAAAGATCAATTATTTAAATCGTTTTTATCTTGAGTGCTATTAACCAGTCTAATTATTTATTATCTGTAAGAGAAAAACTTTTCATGATCATAAGTAATAGTAGTAAATGAACCGTTGATAAAAAAAATTTATGTTAACTTGAAAGACATTAATGATTTATGAACAATTGAACAAGAAAATACTTCAACGTTTTATTTTGAAACATTGTTTCAGTAACAGGGCTAAAATATCTTTGACAAACACACGCCTATCACTCCGTTAATGTTTAAGAGAAATATGACAACTGGTTACAGACGAATTGAATATCCAATATTTGTATTAATATAATTAATATGTGTACTCACAGCAATGAAATCAATGTTTAGTGATTTACTATATGCATTATCAGTATAGGTGCTTACTCTGTTTCCCGAATCCAAAACCACATATAGCTGGAACTTATTGTTCTATAGTTAAGATGCTTTTAAAATCATGTTATATAAGAAAATTATTTGTACATGTTAATTAAACAAAAGCATATTTTTCCACTTGGATTACTTTTATATTAGCCGTAGTATTTTTAAATGTTTAAAAACTAATTTAAGACGGGACTATACCCATTATTTTTATGATGTTCCATCTTCTTAATAATGAATAAACTGATCCCGAAAAATTTTGAAACCTAATCATTAAAACTGAGAAGCTATTTACCAGCTTAAAGAAATGATGTAAAGAAGTGGGAATATTAACAATTTTATCATACGTGAGAATAAATGAATGATTTTTAGAAATTAATCACTTATTTACGCCTGTTACTTCTTGTGGAGACTCATAGGCCGCTTACCAGCATTCTCCATCCAACTCTGTCTTGGACAGTCCTTTCCAGTTGCTATTTATTCTTTCGATGTCTACTTCCAGTTCCCAGTGCAATGTGCTCTTTGACCTTCCACTTTTCCGTTTTCCTTCAGGATTCCAGGTTAGTGCTTGCTTCGTGATGCATTTTGGTGATTTCCGAAATGCTTGTCCTATCCACTTCTAGTGTCTTTTCCTAATTTCCTTCACAGTTGGAAGCTGGTTTGTTCTCTCCTACATTAGGCTGGTGCTGATGGTATCAGGCCAACGGACATTGCGTATCTAACGTAGACAATTGTTTATAAATACTTGTACATTTTTGATGATGGCTGTAGTGGTTCTCCAAGTTTCAGCTACGTACAGTAGAACTGTCTTGACGTTCGTATTGAAGACTCTGACTTTGATAGTGTTTGGCAGTTGTTTTTAGTTCCATATGTTCTGCAACTGTAGGAATGCTGTCTTTGCTTAGCCAATCCTTGCCTTCAAGTCTGCATCGGATCCTTCTTGTTCGTCGATGATGCTGTCCAGGTGTGTGAACGTTTTCACCTCTTCCAAAGTTCCTCCACGAAGTTTGATCGTGTTGGTGTTCCCCGTGCTGTATTTGAGGATCTTGGTTTCTACCTTCAATATGTTGGGGCCTACTGCTTCAGAGGCTGCTAATACACTAGGTGTCTTCACCAGCATTTGTTGATGTGCATAGAAGAGAAGAGCTAGGTCATTTGCGAAGTCCGAATCGTCTAGTTGCACCCATACTCTCCGTTGTATTCCGTGCTTCCCCTCATATGTGGAGGTCTTCATAATCCAGTCAATCAATAGAATAAAGAGAAAGGGGGAGAGTAGACAACCTTGTCTGACTCCGGTCTTTACTTGTAATGCATCTGTCAGCTGTCCTCCATACACCACTTTGCAGCGTAGCCCGTCGTATGGAATGCGGATGGTGTTGAGGATTCCCTCAAGTACATTATAGTGTCGAAGATGGTTCCATAGACTTCTCTTATCCACACTGTCGAATGCTTCCCTCCGGTCAAGAAAGTTGATGAACAGTGACGAATTCCATCCAATTTATTGTTCAGCGATGACCTGTAGTGTCACGATTTGGTTTGTGCACGACCAATCCTTATGGAATCCGACCTGTTGATCTCGAAGTTGGGCGTCTACTGAATCTTTCACCCTGTTCAGCAACAATCTGTCGAATAAGTTTCCTGGTACTGACTATAGTGTGATGACTGTGTATTTCTCGCACTAGCTCAGATCTCCCTTCTTGAGTATCTTGGTGAGATATCCTTCTTTCCAGTCTGTCAGAGGCACTAGTTCTTCCTCGCAAATCCTCCTGAATGGAACGTGAAGCATGTTTGCGATTACTTTTGTGTGTGACTTCAGTGCTTCAGCTGGTATATTGTCAAGTCCTGCTGCTTACTCACTCCTGATTTCTTCGATCGTTGGTAGAGTGATATCTATAGGAAGGTGTGTGTGTGTGCTGCCCCGGTGTCCGGTGGATTCAATGGAGCTGGCCTATTCAAGATTTTCTCACGGCGTCCTACCCATCTTTTTCTGCATTCTTGAATCTCAATGGTTGGCTTGCCTTCTTTACCTGTTTTTAAAATCGTGCTCTGAGGGCACAGCTACGAACTTCTGACGTCAGGAGCGAACTTTAAGTGCGCGTTTTCTCAGTCATAGTTCACACCAAGCGCTCTACAAGTCTACTTTGTAACAACTATAAACTTAAAAATTTTTATTGCATAAATACATAGCGCGACCGAAATTCTAACACAATTATGCCGAGATTGGATCTGGTGTGTAAGGTGTACGCGATGCAACTTTTGAAAATATTTTGAAGACTGTACTCAGTATAACGCTAGAGCATAAACCTAATCATTGACACTCCAAAAAATCTGCACGAACGTACTGTTATTCGATTTTGTTGACTATATCTATTTAACGACCCGACTCGGGAAGCATTCTGTTGTAATTTGTAGATCATGCCTGTAAAAATGGCATGTACCTGCCCTTACAGAAAAACGTTATTAACATTGCCAAACGGGGCATCGGCCTCGTGACTTCTAAAGAAACTCGGCTTTCACCATGAGGCCGCATCAACTATGCAATTATACGGAACAGTCTTTCCTCCGAAACGCTCGTGGCAGATGAATTACGTACGTTTGTAAAACTGCTTGATCAAGCTCTCACTTGCACTGATCTAGCACGCACGAACACATCTGCGCCCCACTCAGACATCATATGCTCTCTACATGTCTAGACCAAAATGGACTTCAAGTTCCGTTTGCTTTATTTTTCCTACTTTGCAGTTGTATTATTTACTTTTTCAACTCCGCCCAGAGCCCCTCCAGGGGCTACTGCCAGTCCCAATCCCGTATAAAGGAGGAGGGTTGGGCATAGAGTTAGCGACCCCATCCTATAGAAAACTAACTCGCTAAAAAAACGTTAACCAGAAAAATATTCAAACCATTTAAAATTTGCCTTGGGAGTCAGAAAGTCTTCATTTAGAAGAGTTATGACGCCTCAGCAGCAGTTGGTCTTAATATACACAAAGAGAAAAGAACGATTCTCCGGTACAACACAGCATGCACCAATCCAATCACAATTGACAGAGAAGATTTGGCAGATGTAAACACCTTTACATACTTGGGCAGCATCATTGATGAACAGGGTGGATCTGATGCGGATGTGGAGGCGCGGATTGGCAAAGCAAGAGCAGCATATTTACAAGTGAAGAACATCTGGAACTCAAAGCAACTGTCAACCAACACCAAAATCAGGATTTTCAATACAAATGTCAAGACAGTTCTACTATATGGGGCAGAAACCTGGAGAACTACGAAGGTCATCATCCAGAAAATACGGGTGTTCATTAACAGTTGTCCACGTAAAATACTTCGGATCCGTTGGCCGGACACTACCAGCAACATACTACTATGGGCGAGAACAAACTAGATCCCAGTAGAGGAGGAAATCACGAAGAAGCGCTGGAAGTGGATAAGACACACACATTGAGGAAAGCACCCAACTGCGTCACAAGACAAGCCCTCACTTGGAATCCTCAAGGCCGAAGGAAAAGAGAAATACCGAAGTACACATTACGCCGGGAAATGGAGATAGACATGAGAAAAATGAACAGGAATTGGATGGAACTGGAAAAGAAGGCCCAGGACAGAGTGGGTTGGAGAATACTGGTCGGCGGCCTATGTTCCGTTAGGAGTACCAGGCGTAAGTAAGTAAGTAAGTAGTTACTTTTTCCACCTATTTCTTCACTTGAAGTAAACAGGTTACTCACTGGACCTATCGATGCTGTTCAACTAAACTCGGTCGCTAAGAGACACTCACTACCACCTTGAAAAGTCAAGAGGACCGCACGATCGACTGCCTAATACCAGTGGTCTTGCATCTATGGGACCTGTTAACCATCAACTGGTTAGGACAACACAAAATAACATCAGCACCAAGTTAGTGTGAATTTCTTACCGTTTATACTTTATTACCCTTTT